TTATTTTTTTCCTGATGTCTTGCTATAATGTGCACTCCACTGGTTCTGGGCAAGCATTCCTGCACCTAGATCAAGAAAACTGAGGCTCTTCAATTCCTAAGTACACTTCAGCATAGTGTAAAGGAAACACTCTACACTTATTTCTTTTTAATTATGGAGTTCATGAGGTATAAAGAAATACAAAGCAAGTGGAAAGTTGGGAAAACTGGAATACATTAGGGAACAGCACACTACAAACAAATCTGTTAGAGGCAATTAACTTTTTTCTCACTTGACCTATTTATTCCTATTCTGTTGACATTTTAATCCAAATAAATGAATGAGGTACGAAATTAGTCCTTTTTCAGAACTGATGGAAGGAAAAACTAAATAAAAAACATACCCAGAAGAATAATTGTTAAAGATATTTTGGAGAATGTCTCTAGAACAGTCTATGTTATTTTCTTGTACTGGCCAATGAGTAAAGCTGGTGAAAATTTTTGTACATGTTTGGATTACACTGAGCAGTCCTGTCCTTGACCAGTCACAGCACTGCACTCCACTCATATCTAGTTTGAAATTTTCAGGTGCAAACTATAAGATTTGTAAGACTCAAAAAGAGACAAAATCTGAACAGCTTAATTCAAAACCAAGTCAAGATTACGGTCATTATAACACCTGAGCTGTGTACATTTATCAGTATATTTAGGAGCTTTGGTTAGGGTTCAATGAAAACTTTTTAACCATGAAACACAGAGTTATTTGCACGTGTCTAGGGCTTTCTGATACCAAAACTTTCAAAAATCTGTTCTAGATGCTGCAGTCTTAAAAAGTATATACATATCACAAAGAAAGGCAACACATGCATTAAGCACACTGCAAAGAAAAAAATTTAGGAAGTTTAATAGAGTATAAGACAAAGGACACTGCCTTTAAAGGGACAGAAGACTCAAATTGCTGGCACAAAGTAAATCCTTGGATAGGTCAAAAATCTGTAAAAAAAATCTAGGAAGAAAACTATGCTCATTATCATCAGAAGCTGCAGTTAAACAAAAAACTTTATTTCCATATCTAATTTTTTTTTTGTAGCTATTTTTCCTGGTACTCAGATTAACCTTTTCTTGAATGTAGCCTGTATAGATCAGAAATGCATACAAGAGCAATCTTCCTAGATGCTGCTGAAAAATGTTACAGCATGAAACACTTTGTCATCAGTCAGAAAATCACCATTTTTCCCACAAAGCTCTCAGATAATTTGAACTACCCTGTGGACTAAGTTTTCTTTATCTGTGAAGAAACTGCCAGAATAAAATGCTTCAGCTAAATTTTTGAGACATCTCAGTAGCAAGAGAATTGTAAGGAATGCTTCAATCAGCATACCTCCCTGGAATCCAAAATGCATCCTCAGGAAAACATGGATTCCAACAGTCTCTGATAAAAGGCTTGCTGCCTTCCATTGCAAACAGATACATCACTAAATGGTACTACTGCTGAAAATAAGGATCACTCATCTCAGCAATTTTCAATTGTGATTCCTGGAAAATCATTTTCCCTAATTGCAAGAGATGCTAGAGATACTTAACTTGAGCATTGACATGATAATCTGATGATGCTCTCAGGCATCCATTCCAGAGCACTGATAATAATGTAAACAGAAGGAAAAAGGATTTATGGAATTTGGAACATCCTTGTCTGCTTGTGTATATATTACTTCATTATCATACACAAATAGAAGCTTGACCTATATGAGGAATTCTGAGAAAGCATTACATCAGCAGCACAAAATTCCTCAGACAAGTAGATAATAATAAGAAAACTTGGATACAGTGCACTGTACAAGTACACACGTTTGGAAAACTGAATCCTCCCCAGACAGAATCTGAAAACTCCAGAGTTTTCACTGAAATCAGTATAAGCATTTTTGTCCAATATGTTCTTAAGTGATAAGGCTCAACAACTCTTTGAATCTGTCTCCAATAGTGAAATGTAGTTCACGTTCGTGATTGCTCAGTCACTGAGTGTGTGCCATGATAAACAAGTGGCAGACTTCAAACTAAAACTGTTGGTCATAGATTATGTCCTTTAATAAAAACATCCCAGTTAGAATGGACACTGATTTCACAAATCATTTCCTAGCCATACTGCTGTGCAGTAAACACTGATACACTCTGTACTTCCTATGACTTGAAAATGATTAATTAACATGACACATCAATGTACCTCCTTATGCATGAACAGCTGTTCCTACACTTTCCAGATGGATATACTTAAAGTCCTATCATTCATGTTATATACCACTCACAAGTGGTTATCCAAAAACCTCAAGATGCAAAAATACTAAATACTTTAAGAGAACATCAAGGTAATTTTGTAGTAAGATTAAAAAAGTCTTGAGACTTAATTTCATGTAGCTGTTCTGACAGGCAGCCTGCACACTAAAGAGTCTGTCCAGTTCCACAGATGCAAATTAATGATGATTCCTCACAGATAAGCAGCAACTTAGATGAGCTGTGAAACCAACAGGGGAAAACCAAACCCTAATCCTGGGTATTTCCACTCTGGCACTCTCAGTACTCTTTCATGCAGTTCTACTCTCGGGAATTCAATAAGCTTTCTACTTTTCACTGTTTGTGCTAGGGCTAAATGATCTACTGTTTCTGGAAAAGCTTTACTTCTCCTAGAAACCTTTTTATCTATTGTTTCAGGATTAAGAAGTCTGAACAAAAAGGATTTTTTTTTCCTTTTTCTTCTGAGAGCCTTAAAAACATAATATATAGAAGACGAAATTTGATTAAGAAATCAGATGTGTTGATAATATCTTTGCATTTAGCTTTGTTTTCAGTTTTTGTATATATGGAGGGGTTCTTTGAGATATAAAGGGTCAGAGTAGAAGACCACTCCATGTATAAGCAGAGACAGGGAGGCAATCAGTTGGAAATAAAAGCTGGCAACAGCAGAGAACTTGCTGGAGAAGTTACTGCATAAATGGAGAGAGTAATGGACACTGTTGTGCCTTGTACTAGCAGCATTCTCAGAAAAGTTATTTACTACTCCTTTTCAATCAGACAACACTACTGCCTTGTTTCTAAACTAAATTTTAATTTTAAATAAATTTAATTTTAGAATTTAAATTTTTAAATTTAAATCTTAAAATGAATTCAAGCTGGATAAGAGAGACTTAAGCAAAAGAGTGGCAATGTTGAGAGAAAAAATTGTATCACATGGAATTAGCCCTAACTAGTTCTTGTGGACTCCAGACATCTGCTGTCAGGAGGGGTCACCACTCTTTCTCAGACAGTAATAAGAGACAGAAGCATTTTCAGAGACTTAAAGCTTACTTTCAGCACCAAATTGTTGGCAACAGCTTACAGTAGTAAGCTACTTGCTACAGGAGAGAAGTTAAAATCTATCTTGTGGATGGTATGCCAGCAAGGCCAATGACTGCTACTTCAGAAATAAAATAACTCTTATCAGTAAAGAATTATGTAGTGGTTTTTTTTTCAATCACTTTGTGTGGCTTTATCAAAAGGAAACCCTTCAAGAGAAACTATGAAGAGGGACTACCATCAACACTGCACTGAGAAAACTCCGACTGTTTTACTATGGAGGCAGTACAGCAGAGCAGCTGTACTAACATGATGCACCTTATCAGAAAGCAACAGGATGTTCTGGAACCAGTGTCCATCCAGCACAAAATCACAACAAAATAATGTCTGTCTGTTAAACACATCCTGAAGGGGTAGCCCAGGAGGAGGAGAACAACAAGACCTCCAGTTAATTACAGGACTGCAAACCTTTGTATCAAGCCAAACATTACCTTGGTTGCATCCTGGTCTTCTCCAGGCTTCTTCAGATGCTTCAACAGATTTTATCCCTTCATGTAAGATACAGAGCTGTCTATGTGTGCATCTCAAGAATGAAACAGGGCATGAGTCAGCTCTAGATATTTCACCAAAAAAGTGAGAAAAGCCTGGTATTCCAATGGCTCCTTCACTTATTTTCCTACTCAATTTTAAAAGCACAGAAATGAAGGATATACATTCACATTTACTGCCAAAAGCGTCATTGACTAATATATACCAGACCAATCAGCATGGAAAGGAACTTGTTTCAATTCACAGTTAAATAGATTTAGCATACACAGTCAGTTATTAACTTCCAAGAGAAGGAATGAGAGCACAAGAAGCACACAAGATAATTTCTTAATTAAACTGTGCTGTTTCAGAACCAAACATGTAAATATACTATCAATGACAAAGGTCATCAGCATGTAGGAGATATCTAAGATAACCTCCTGAGTCTGACTTCTGATACTTGGATTCCTTGAGGTAAAGTTTGGTTTGTTTTTTTTTTCATACACACATAATGGCAAATAAACAATATATATAACCAAACAAAACATTAATGTTACCTAAATAAAAGGAAGCATTAAAAATAATATTGAATTTGGCATTACAGATTAAACATTTAAGAAATTTTATGTCTACAATTATTATTCATATTACTGTACTGTCTGGGGATCCTACTGAATGAACAATCCCACTGGGACAAAGAGGTGGAAACACCAAAAAAGGCAGTTCCTGGATCATAAATCTCATAGTCTAAACATTGGACAAAAGGAATGAGAAATACACTCAGAAACACACAAAAGAGCAAATATGAATCCATGTAATAAAAAGTAGCCATAGCACATCATCAGCCCTAAAGAAATTAATTTTGAGCAGGGAGATACATTGCAACTATAATCTTCTAATATTAACAAAACTATTTTTCTGTTGTTTATAAACAAAAGGAACAGTTAAGGGAATGAATCTATCAATCCTAAATCCAGTACATAAGATTCTCTAGCCCCTGTATAATCTCTGCTCATGTACAGGTTAAAAAATGGCCAAACCAGCCAAAAAAGATTTTTCCATCTTTTCTGAGTAACTGAATCTTATTCATAGGCAACCATCATGTTAAGAAAAGCTAACATACCATCTGAAGCAAGAATGAAACTGTCTAATTCCAAAAGTCAGAACTTATTGTGTATAACAATTTTATTCTCAAGTGGAAACAAAACTTTATAGATGTTACAAACTGACCAGAGATTTAGAATTATAAACTCATCATCACAGGTCATTCTCCAGCAATAAGCTGAAGTACTGAAGCAAACTACTCCCACCAACATAACACAGGCCCAATTCCTTCTCATTCCCAAGGAAGTGAGTAGGATGTCCTGGCTTTTGGTCTCTTTCCATTCTTCCAGCTTGCTACTACTTGGAAAGGTGTCAGCAAATACTCTTGGCTTCTTGGAGAGATGGCTCTTCTGTAGACAGCCAAACTGGACAGCAATCTCTACATTCAGTGGCTTCTCACAGCTGAGCTGCAATATCCTCGTGGCTCTGCTTGCAGTGGACTAATTAACCAAGAATGGTGCAGGTGTATTATACAAACCAGCCCCACCCGCCAACTTACCAGGGAGAAACATTAAAACTAAGTTATAAAGGATTCCAAGGCTGAAGGGCAGCAAATTATCTGTATAGTCCTGTAAAAAGACTGCATCCACATTGTGTTTCTTGCAAATTAAGCTGCAGGCATTAGTGTATAACAAGCACTAGCCAAAAATGAATAGGGAATGTTATGAAAATATATCTTTCATCTTCATACTTAGCATGGTATGAGTTGTAAACCTTATTATTAAAGGCATTTCTATGCCTTGTAAGCCTCCTAAACACCTATCAGGCACATCAGATTATAGTGTTTCCTCTTTGAATCCTTCACTGTACTAATGAGGGGCAACACAAAAATGTGTTTCTAAAAAATAAAAACAAAAATGCAAACATGCCAGGAATATAATTTCACATGTTATTATGAAAACCCAAATACAGACTTTTCCCTTGGAATCTTGGTCAAGTAATGACCGCTGGGTAAGGAAATCAAAATATGTGAAGCAGAAAGGCGTGAAGAAGGTTCATACAACCACCATCAATCAGGATCAGATGCATGGTAGGGCTAATATAAGAACAAAAAATGTCACAGTCTTCAGGAAACATCAAGCTAGCTGCTTCTTGGTGCAACTGAAGTATGTCTTTAAGACACTTAAGAGGAAATGGGATGAGGTCTGTTATACTTCTTGAAGAAAATGTAGGATATTTGGGACTTCATCTCACCATCCTCCGGAAAACCCTTCATATACTAAAATGAAAACAAAACCTCGAGTCTGAATAAAGTGGAAAAATCATGCAAAACTGAAAGTAAAACCAGTACATGTACTGCCAGCAGTTATAAAACATGTACAGTACAGTGCAGGGGAGATGGCTCCTTCCCTCAACAGCACCTCCCACGGAGCCAGCCTGAGTGTGACGTTAATTCTGAGCAATGGCAAAGACATTTTTGTGCAAACAACTGGCATGCCTTTGCAGTAATCCAAACTTGTTTGAATTGCAGTGGCAATAGGATTCTGCTGACAAGCTGAGTCAAAGGAAACAAGCATAAAAAATAAAGGGATTCCACTGAATAGCAAATATCACCAGCATTGTCTGTGCACAGAACTGAACGGACTAAACACCACCAAACATCAGGGGAAGGGATTCAGCAGGAACACTGAAAGACCTCTGCCTTATGTACTTCAATTCCTAAATAATCTTGTACACAGTGAATGCAACCAGCGATGCAGGCAAGCATACAAGCAATTCTTTTTTGCAGGCTTGGGAATTTTATACTATCCTCTTATTTGTATCATGCAGGGCCACATTTCATGCTTTTTAGAAATGAACAAGATACTATGAAGTCAAACACAACCTGTATGCAGTTCATATTTATAAATAACTTTCTTTGCTTCAGTCTTGCTCCAGGTAAGCTTGCAGGTAGATAGAGAGAACCTTGACAAAAGTCTGGAGACTACAATTACAATTCTAGGAGCACCTTAGAAAAGTAGAATTTAAATTAGCTTTAAATGCACTTTTAATTCCATAGAATAAGAAAACTAACTTTTTGAGCCCCTTGACAACCTGCTCCCATGCCACCAAAATAGGAATGAAACTGTAGTTTCAATAATAACAAACAAGAATCAGAATATGCCCACGATGTTTATACACAACTTGGACTGGTGTTAGGCAAAATCAAAAGGAGGGTTGCAAATTCTATACACGATTTCACTAGCTGAGATCCTTCACCCAATACAGAAATGTTTATTTGTGGCTTTATAAGGTGATATAGCAACTCATATTAAAACCACAATATCATGTTTTACTAGACTCTCTCTCCTTCCCATTTCCCAAACTAAGCAAATTATTTTAATCTGGATTCCTCTGTCACGTCAGAGATTACATTGTGAAGAAACTAATGACCTGGAAAAACTAAGTTCGATTCACTGTTATGAAAAGGTTCCAAATGGTAGGTGCTATTCCACTGGCAGGAAGAAAAATCTCCCTCCCCCTATCAAGAATTTGTCATGAAAATTTTCCACTTATTTTCTATTATGTTCCTAGCTCAGAAGACCCTTATTTCACAATTGCAAACCAAAGAAACATAAAACCCATTATGAAGTAAACATTTACATTGTGAATATCTCTCTGTAAAAAAAGGTACCACCAGATCTCCTTTCAGAAAATTGATAAAGGAGAAAAATCTTTGTTTTCCCTAGTTTTCTTAAAGTTCAGTGATAGAAGAATTAAACAAAAAGACCTATCTGAAGGTAAACATTTAAAAATATGTAAAAACTTTGAAATAAAATATCACTTTTCATTAACAAATCCATAATACTCAGCAGCTCACATGGGCAGGATGGTGGTAGAGAGAGCCTGTAAATCCCACGCATTTGACCACAGGCTGGCTTGAAAATCAAGAACTCAGGTCAGTGGTACATCAATGTCACAGAAGACCAGTTAACTGAGCCACTCAGAATAAATTTCTTAGCTTCCAAGCAGCACGTAGAATACAAAGTTTCCAAAGGTTACATTTAGCTGGCGAGTAAGTTTTTACAGAGAATGTGACGGTGGTAACACAAAATCACAAAGAACGCAAGAGTGCTGTTCATATTGGGTTTTATGTATGCAACATGCATACAACGCAAACACACGCACCAAAGTTTCTTAGAGAGAAAAAATTTAATTAAACAGTGCTTGTTTAAGGGCGTCTGAAGGCTTATTGTTTCATGGATAGCAGAGAAGGTGGTTTGGTATGAGGCAAAAATTACAAGACTAAATTGCTGCAGAGCTACAAGATAAACAGAAGAAACACAGTGTATGCTTGCTTCCTCACAGGCATTCTGGCTAGTAACTTAATGAGTTCATAGCCTTCAAAAGATTCAGCTTTATCCCAGGTATTCAAGACAAAATTTTTATTTCCTATTATTTCACTTTTCTGTGAGCTACAATAAAAATCTGGGGGTCTCTTTTCCATGTACTCATCAATCCTTCTATTAATATAGACCTGACTACACCGAGAACAAAGTCTCAAGTATTCATTTTGTTCAATATAAAACAAAATCAGTTTTCATGTACCAATGTCCCAGGATTCCAAAATATAACTAATTGGTAGTCTTAAAGGAAACAAATCTCTAGAAACATGCATCTAGCAAGCAGGGTATTGCTAGATTTCTTCCTCTGAGAAGTACTCAACTTCAAGCACTAGAGGATCATATGACTCAGGGGAATAAGATCATAGCATCTAGTCATACATTTCTGAATTATTAACAGTAATGCTATAATTTTGTATCATTTTCTCAAAGATGATGACCTAATTATTCATTAGGTACTTAGAATATGTAAGGAAGCATGTGTGCCATGCCAATGCTTTGTCAGATACAGTCTGCTGAGGAATTGCCACATTTTATAGGTGCAGCTTCTACAACACCAGTGTTCTGTTTTGTCATTACCACACCAGAAGATCTGCTTTCACCTTTGGGCTCACCTTAGGTATTCTGTTATTTACCTTCTTCTGTTGTATTTTTAACTCAGCTACCTGACTACAGAAAGATTTTAGTGTTAATTTATTTCTGAATATTATTTCTGAATCACACTCTAAGAAATGAGCTAGAAATGATGGGCTCTGAAGCTGTAAGTAAACAGCTTAAAAACAGAACATTTTCAAAATCTATAAACCTATATAAATTAGCTAATGTAGTATTTGTGGAGAAACAATTAAACTAGTTTTTCCCAAAAATAAAATGCATTGACTTAATTGCTGAGGAAGAAATGTTCAGGGGTTTGGATTTTTTTTTCAAGTTGAAAAGGAAAGCAGTAGTGGCTTTATATGTACAATTCAAAATAAAGTATAAAAAAAAATAATTATTATTTAGCCTGCATTTGTACCTCTGAAATACCACATTTGCCTGAATTACTGGAAAATTTGCCAGCATCACTTAGGCAGGAAACTAACATAAAATTGCTTCCTTGGTAGCTCCAAAATACAGAAACGCCAGATGACTCTAGGCATCTTTTGTCACAAAAATTCATCTTTCGCACTTCCTGGCTGCTCTTACTAATTTTCCATTACCCTTCAATCAGTCTTTAAATCTCAATTGGTATCCAAGCTCATTTTCACAGATATGTCTATTTAACACTACAGTAAATGTATCTTTTTCCCCCCAGAGATTTTCAGCTTTGATTTTGTTATTTTTGTCAAGAGACAAAATAATTTTTCAGTTGAAGGACACGTTACTGGAGGGGATTTACAGGCTCAGTCCTGCAAGTAATGCCAGAAAGTACTGCTTTGTAATTCCTTCACATACCAATCCAGTTCCATCTCACCACTATTTCAATTGGAAGCCTGCTGCTGAACTGCACATTGCCAGAGATTTCCTTTTAGTTTTCAGCCTAAAATTTATTCATGGTCAAGTGCATCCATTCATTATTTTAACACTGTCCTTGGTCTATTCATAAACGTAATTAAATATACTTTTGCTGTGCTAAGGTCAACTAGCCATGCTGTTTTAACCTTTACTCATGTGGCATTTTCTGAGTCTCTGGACAGTAAACATTTCTGTACTTCCAGTAATCCAAACTGGATTGCACTGGAAGCTATAAAATGCTATTAAATATTTTTTTTAATTTGGAAACAATCTCTTGTCATCTTACATATTATATGTATCTATATATACAACCATCAAATCTATGAATTTATTTGTAAAATTATTTTGTAAATTATCTCTTTTCTTAATGAGAGCTGACTGGCAAGAGATTTCAAAACACTAAGAATTACTAACAATCTTATGACATGCATAAAAATTCATCCTTGTATATTTTATTGTAACCTACTATTTTTGGGTAAGCTGTTAGATTTTTTTAAAGTAGTCCAGACTGACAGGTTCTATAAATGGGATAACCTGAAGTATTTTACTTAGAAGTAATTACATTCAATGCCAAAATGCTAAGTGGCCATCCATAATAACCTAAACCCTGAATTATTTTCGGAAGAGAAACAGAAAAGGTAAGGAAATTGTGTCAGAGTGTAAATGTAAGCAATTTAGCCACTGAAGTAATCCTGCTGTAACCTACTGTCCACAAAGCTGAGCAGCACTGTGCCCTACACAACTGCTGTACTACACAAGTGCTTTAAATTTCAATGAAACTCCAGCTAGCTTTTCCTTCTTTTGTGGATTTTGTGTTGTTGAATTTTTTCAGTCTAAGGCAATGTCTAGAAATTACCAGTACTAAAGAATCTGTTCATGGCATTGTTTACAAAAGCTCCTAAGAGACAGTGACTACTTCATTGTTGAATGTAACCTTTATTTTATTAATTATGAGAAGTAATCAATGGAATGCTAAAAAAACCCCATACTTGTAAAGAAATCTAGTCTGAAATCTGAATCTGTTGTTTGAAGCAAGTTCAGTGGTCATGGTAACACCAGATGAAAGTGGACTCTTGCCCATTGTGAAACAGGCATGGCTCTTCTAAAAAGGTCACAAACTTTTCAAATATAGGCACCATGTTTCAAATTTTGCACATACAAAATATGTTCATGTCACTCAAATTACACAATGTGGCAGTGTTATAAGTCTGAACATTATTGTCAATGGTGGAGGAAAGAGCCCAAAGCTCACGTAAGACTAATGACTGGGACAACTCCTGAAAAGAGACAAGAAGTATAAAACAACAGTTTTCCTGTTGTACGTGGGATTGTGTGTGCATGTGTGAGAGTGCATATAACAAAAATGTTTAAGAGTAAGTTCAGACAACAGCCCATCCACTTGTTCTCAGTTTCTTCTCCAGTTTCATTGCAAAGGCTTTGATTTTAACCGCATGATAAAATGCAAATTCGAATCCCATAGAAACCAATAGTTAGTGTGTTGTTGACTGGTTTGAACCAATCAAAACTGAGTTTTATTATAATAACTTCTGAATGTCTTCCTTTTAATCTACTTGTCAGCCTCTGGGTATGTAGGATACTTGACTGTCTCAATTTTCTCCTTAACTTTATAGGATGGGTACAGGCCTGTTCTTCCTAATTTCCTATTGATGCCTTTTGAATAACCATCCCAGTGGTTTCCAGCTACTCCAATTATATCTCCAGGTTCCATAGGAATTTCATCAGCAGTTCGTGGATGATGAGCATAAATAGCAATCTGGTTGTGAGCATTCTGTCCCCCAAAGTAGTAGATATCATCCAAAGAATGGAAATACGCCGAAGCATCTGGATGCAATGTCTGCATAATTTCATAGGCAACTCGACAAACCTTAGAAATAAAAACAGAAGTCATTAATATTGTGTGTGACTGAAATATACCACAGAAATCAACAACCAGTGCACAATAGCATTTCCAAGAGTATCAGGGTCTGGAATAGCTAGGTCCAAAAAAAACACATAACCAACCAACTTACAAAAATAGCCCCCAAAAAATTCAAAAACCAAGCAACACCAAACTGAAAAACCCACCAAAAAGCCCCACAGAATCCCTGCATATTTGCTACTAGTTTTGCAGAATCTTAACTGGGCTCTGGTGATCAGATTTAGTAAACAAACAAATACATAGATAAATAATTAGTATAGTGTACTCTTCAGTATAAAACAAAAACACCTATATGAACACTAGCAATTCTGCTTTTTAAAATTAATGATCTGTAGCCAACCAAATGTAAAAGATAATTAGTTTACCTTTTCTACTACTACTACTACAAATTGTATTTTACTTCCCTTTGAACCTTTAGAATTTACATTTTCAAATTTATCCTGCAATAATGAGACCTTGCATTTACTTCCTAAAGGAAGCTCATATTTTCACAACCAAACAGCTCCGTAAGTCCAAGGCTTTAAAATGCTCTTTATATTAGAACAGTGACAGAATTGTGACTGCTGGCAACTTAGAACAAAAATAAATGAAACTGAATTCTGTCAAGACAATAATTATGTTGGTGAGAAGAAAGATGCATTTTTACTTGTCATTGTATCCCATTTTATGAAGGGAATTTTCTTCAGACTGAACACATGTTCCTACATCAGAATGATGTTCTATTTCCCAGAGTTGCCAGAAACACAAAAGTCTACTACTATATTAAAAAAAATATGAAGAAGCATTTGAGCTTTTTCATAATTTTTCAGTCTATGTTAATATAGTAAAGCTTGATTTTACTTTTATTTTCTCCCTTTGAAGATGCAGTGAATAGAACTTTGATCAGTCATATGAGATGTATTTGTACTTCCTTAGCTCCTTTGAGAGAGGTATTTGCTTTAAAAATGTAATAGATTTCCTTTTATCCCTCTGCATCTGAACTTTGAAACAACTTTTCAGAAATACCTTTCGAAGATCAGGCTGAAGTTAATTATTTCAAAGTACCTGTTACACACCATAATATAGAAACAAATTTGATTACCCATATATTTGCAAAAAGGCTATTTATTATATAGCCTCTGTGACTGTTTTTGTTTTGTTCCCTGCATGTGTGTGTACCCCAGGAAGTAAACACACACAATACACACTATAAAGATCGTAAATCTTGTCAGTAGAAATGTTTTTAGCAAGTGTGTCCTGCATATCTGACACAAAACATTCAATATCTCCTCTCAGCAACTGTTTTCTTTGTATCACCAGACCTGGGTGACTAAACAGTAAACTGTTGAGGACAAACAGCAGGCAAAACATCCACGTGCAGAAATGCAGCCAAAACCAGCCTTACATTTTTAATTCTCAGATCCCTTGTTCTGCAGCCTGTATACTTACCTGTACAATGAAAAATACAAAGACTAATAACTTCTGGAAGGAAATTAAGTTATGTCAGAAGGAGCTATGACTTCATCTAAATGAAGACTAAAGAGATTAAAAAAAAATCTTTGTTCTTATGTGTAATCTTAATTCTCCTATTGTGTTATGATTTGTGTAACCCCCATGTGGCTTTTCTATAAAATTAAATTAATCTATTCAATTAATGTGATGTTGCTGAAATATAGTGCCAAGCTAGGACCCTTGACTTTCCATTACATGACAGGACCAATTCCTTAACAACAGCATTTTAAGGAAACCTATTCTTCTAGTCTTTTAGGAAAAATGTGAAAAAAAAGTCAGCATAGAATTGATTAATGAGAAAGTCCAAAACCACAATGGAAATAATTTAACCTCACTTTCTCTTCATACCTATTGGACAAAAGATGGTCATTTACTGCCTTATTTTGCTTACCTTCAATGTCAAAGTAACTATCAAATAGTTTATTTAAGTGATGAATGGACAAGGATAGCAATTCAATTGTTAGAGATAAGAGAATCAAATTTTAAACACCTTAAAATGAAACTTTAAGAATAGTGGGAAAATTTGCCATAGACCTTTTAAAAGCCCAACATATGAAAATTCTATAGAGATCCACCTTGTTGCATGCCCAGAAAGACTGGTATTAAATTATTTTTGAGGAGTTTGAATTATTAAAGGACAATAAATTGCCTAGAACAAATTAAGTTAATTACTGGACCAAATTCATAGTCCAGCTATTGACAGTAACACTCTAATATTTGACCTCCTATATTTCAGTAGAATTTTCTGCAACTCTGGAAAACCAAATATGTTATCCAATAAACAAGTCTACTGTCAAATGCATGGTGAAAGAGAATGGGAGTTGAGCCCAAAGACACCATGTACCTCAAAGGTACCCTCAAAGGGGGTTGCATCAGAGGCCCCCCAGAAGTCCTGATCAACCTGTAGCACCTTAACTGTGTTGAAGTATTTTAAACACATATTCTTCTTTCAAAATGACTCCAATACTTAAAATTCAATTACAATATATTCTGGCCAAGCCATCTGCAGCTATATTTAAACTCTATTTATACCCAAGGTTTATTTTAAAGCAAACACTTATCACTTTTAACACAGCTATCTGAATATAATAAAGGCAGAAAATGTTAGAGATTTTTCATTAAGTTTTTATCCAAGACTACATAATTCTTCCTTCAGCCTATAAACTGTCTGTACACCAATTCACTTGTGGCATTTAGGAACTACAGCCGTAGGTTTTGTTTCTTTCACTGTGATATGCATTCAGTGGATGTGCTTCAGCTAAATCAAACATTAGCACTACAGTGGATGGCTCCTCACAGTTCTTCTTAGTGAGGATTTTTACTTTGGATTTTACTCAGGTCTTTGGTCTGAAACAGCCTGTATTAATAACCTCCTAAATATGCTATAAAATGTCATTCTCTCTACAGGATGTGGTGAATGGTAAATAAAGTGTATGCACAAGCATGATTGGGGTATAAGAGGCTTTTCTATACTTTTTGTAGTTTTGCTATCTTCTTGCTACAGCAATTTTATTAAGAATTCTGCCTGTCAATATAACACTGTATTGACCATTTTGTTAATATTAATATTGTGCTTGTTACCTATTTGTCATTACAGTGCAGCAGAGGCTGTGGAAAACATTTCGTTTTCAAGTGAATTTTAACTTTTGAGTTTTGTGTCCACTTCCATCTAACAGTACAAAATATGTGTGATTGAAGAGAATAACAACAACAGCAAGTAAAAAACCATCAGTCAGTCTGACAGAGATCATATCTTGCCATCTGTGAATTAGGTGGATCAGCATATTAGCTACAAAATACTGCTTGGTGACTTTTTGCAGCACTTTTAATCTTAAAATGGATTTTTACAAACAGAAGGATGAAGAAAACTAATATTTAGAACTGGTACATATAATCAACATTGTCTCTGCATGGCACTTTACCTGGGATGAAAATGTACAGACCAGGAAGTCTGCCTGAGACAAAAAGTGAATATCCAGAATGACACCTCTTAGGGAGTTTTCAGTGTATCGGTTATGGAGTCCTGCTGACCAGGATATGGAGTTATCACTGATAAATTCATAATTTGGATACCTGTGAAAATAAAATACACAGTTAATAGCATTGTTCTATGTATTTTTTTAAGAAGCATTACCCCTGCTGCAAGACAGGGTTGCTATTTTGTTTTAAGTGAGTCTCTGCTTTACAGAAAATTAATTACAATTTTGCTGAATCTTCTAGAATGTCACTGCTGCCTCCAAGCATGCCCTCTCTTTATCTAGAAAAAATAATTATATAAAAAGATCCTGTAAGTCTGTCTAATACATAACAAAGTAGAAGTGAAAGAAGTATTAGGAAGTATATATCACATTCTGCAAATTATGCTGATTTTAGATGAAATATACTCAGATCACTAAGTTTTCTCTACTGCTAAACAGGATATGGGATTCTGATTTTACTAGACTACATTTATTATCAGACTATTAGATACTGATTAGAACACTGTGCAAAAAGAACAGTCACCTGTAAAAGGGACATATTAAATTAATGCATGTAAACCAATGAAAAGAATAAAAAGTCTTTCACAGTTTGTAAGGCCATATGAAGAAGAAATTTTTCAATTCACTGGTCAAAAGGAATTTTAATGTAGAATTCTATGCCAATACACTTTTCTTGACTTATTACAAAAAAAAAATTAATACTACTTTAAGTCAAAATATTTTTTTTAAATATGAAACCTTAGTTTATATGATATTAAAAGATTTTATCACATAACAATAACTTAAAATTCTTTTAAAATCCATTTAAAATATTGAAAATTTCTCAAAAAGATTACACTTCTGTAATGGGGAGCTGAAATCGGGAAGAAACTGTGGAAAGAAGCACAAATTAAAGTAATTAAACATTTAATAATTTAAAATATTAATTAAATAATTAAATTTTCAATCTGTCCCCTATCAAAGACAATTATTACAGATGTAACAAAGGTGGTAACTACGTTGCTATTACAGAGCAATTACATTTCAAACATTAAGAGCAACTCACATGACTACCAGCCAACTACAGAATTTTAAACTACCAGCCAACTACAGAATTTTAACTACACTTATTATTACACAGTTTATTATAAAAAAACTATATATATAAATAAAAGTTTTTTTCAAATTTGTAACTTCATTGTAAATATAAATCAATACATTATACAAGAGAGCAAGAGAGCTAAAATAATATTCCTAAGAACATGCCTAATTTATTCCATTTTAGTGTTAAAAATATGGGGAAAATGTATTCAAAAGTGAAATGGACAAATATAGTTGCCTTTTGTGACTATCAAATCAATAAATTTATCTCAAGAGCAAATCAAAATACTGTATGCAAAATGTCCACTTTTAATGTGGAATGTATGGGACAGCTTTAAAGGGTGTATGTGATCATCAAGGTCAGGAAAAGTTACAATAAAAAACAATAAGAAACAAATTAATAGAAAATCAACAGAAAAAAGAAAGAGAAGGCAAATAGAATAATTGCTAATACCCCTTCTGAGGAATTACAACAGTTTATTTGAAGTTAAAAATAGATTTTCAGTAAGAACTCTTTCACAATTTAAATTTTATTTCTGATCTTTTTGTGTCCAACACTTTTTGTCAATATTTACCCAGTTCTCAAAACAGATGACACCACAATATTTGTATCATATTCGGTTATCATTTTCATGGGGTTAATCATATTAGTTTTTTGGTTTTTTTAAAGGAAGAAAAAAGTACAGACCAAACAGAAATACATCATACTCTACTCTGAGAGCTAGCTGAGAAACAGAGATAAGCATCAGTCTTATCTCAAGAAAACAACTGCAAGTGGAGCAACACAAAGAACATTTAACAGAAGATGGCATTTCTAGGGACAGTGAACATGGTAAAGATATTTGCAGACCCCTTTGCAAGTTCTTGGTGTCAGGAATATCACTAAAATTAATCATTTCATTCAGACTTCAAAAATCAGAATCCATATGCTGAGCAGACACAAAAGAACTTTTCTCGAAGAATTTGGTTTCTTACTACCAAAAGATCACTCTAATAACTTTAAGGAATGAATCACAAGGAAAAAAGTGTCATATTTGATCTGGTAAAAAGCAAAAGGTGAGAATTATTTACACATCTTTTTTATGCATACATTTAAAATGTTTGCCTTCTTTCATTTATTCTGAAACAGTAGCTGAGATGCTGTTAGATCTGGTCCTCAATTCCGTTTTATAAAGTTGATCCAAACTCTTCTAACCAACAGCTTCACAGCCCACTCTTCAAAATAATCATCAAAGCTTGTAATTTATCCACTCTCCTGGTTAAGTTTTCAAACAAGCACTTTTATGTTGTCTCCCACACACAATGCTTGGGAAAAGAGGTTTCTTTTAAAATGTGAGTGAAATAGCAGCCATACTCAGTGTGACCAAAGAATCTTCTGGTCCACTATACTGTCTCCAACACAGGCTGAAAGCAGAGCATAAAGAAAAATAGAGGAGAAGGCCAGGTGCACACTCCTCTCAAGCTGTATATGGCCCACTGAGTTCCTGCATCAGGTGAGATTTAATTCTCCTTCCCACTCACTACAGTGATTGAGATTCTATTTGAAGCTATTCTTGCCACAAGGACTGCAAAGAATAAAGGAAATAAAACTATCAAAGTTCTATAGTTAGCTCTTGCTTCCTTCCATTCCCCTCTCCATCTGTATTTATATTATGATTAATGTAATGCTTACATTTTAAGTTTTTGGGCATTTTTTTCTTTTTAAAGTAGAAATTAGGCACAATCCTTTTACTAGGATTCCTGAATGTGTAGAAAATGATTCAGGCATTATAAGTTGTCATATTTTTATTGGCAGAATCACCAAAACACAATATTGTGTAGGATGCCTTCTAGCATTACTCACATAGCCTCTTCTCTGAAACAGGAAAGGCCCAGATTGTGAATCATGGAATCACTGAAGTTGGAGAAGACCTTTAAGACCATTGAGTCCAACTACAAATCCAGCACTTCCAAGTCCACCACTAAACCACATCTCGAAGGTGCCAAATCTACATGACTTCTAAATACCTCCAGAGACAGTGGCATTATATTTCCTTGGGCAGCCTGCTCAAAGAAAGCCAAATAATGGAAACTGGCACGGCTCTGTTTTCTTTGTATTGGATTACATATACGTAGTGTATCTCTTCCACATATGTAAAAATAATACCCAGTTCTTTTAAAGCTATCTAATAGATCCTTGAAACCTATGTACAGGCCAGGAAAAATTTTATTTTGTTTCATCTTATTAGAAAGGGAAAAAAGACATCAAAAGAAGGTGGGGAAGAGAGAGTTAAAAATCTTTCCTTCCTGTACCTAACACCCTCAGATAAGAATAGAAATCAAGCACAGGTATGGGACTGTTTCAAGTTTGTGTTTGGTTTCAGAACCTGATGGAGCTTCTTGTGTAACTACAGCTTATCACTGCAGGTGCAAAGCAAGGTGAGTCCCAGGCTCCTGTTCCAATTGCTAGGCCTGTGGAAGTTTCCAGAACAGCACTGAAAATTTTCTTCCCTCTGAAAGAAGATGGTGAGTATAAACAGATTGAGTAAGAAATAATGTGTTTTCTCAGGTCTTGCCCTAGAAGAAATTGGAAAATTTATGAGCTGTTCATCAGATTCCAGTACTTTGAAGCATTGCTGAATTCTATGTATCTGGCATACTATGACTTGGGAGGATGGGGAGGGTTAGCCAAACTACAGATAGTAGAAAGGGAGAAGTAAAAAAAGGAGAAAAAAGAAAATACAGATGACTTTACAGGTAAACATTCTGGAAGGAAGAATTTGATTTGTTGAATTTTTGTGCTCATGTACAAAAGAAGACACTGAAATAGGTTCATATACACACCAGATATATATTAAATACGGTCTCCTAAGAATTTATGTATATATAATCTGCATTATTTTGAATACCTTAGAGAGTGAAGATACTGTAAGTAATATTACAGACTAGAAAACACATGTACTAGACATTCAAAAATTTGCATGTGAAAACTATTAAATCAGCCAAAGAAAAAGCAATTTACACCATCCCTAACACATCACTTACCCAAGATAAATACCAGGAACTCTGCTTACCAGAAGCTGTCAAATACTTTTAATCTCCTAATCATTACAGTTGTTGAACTCTCAAACCTTCTACTCTCTACTAAAACTGTTCTTACATGATCCTAATTCTGAAAATATATCACTTCTTTCCTTCTTTTGGAAATAGAACACAAAAACTCTACAAACTGGTGGCAGTGACTGCACTATCTGTACTACTGTATTTGCAGTTGGTAGACATCTGACTGCAAGGGAAGTTTCTGAATCTTAAGTCAAAACATTTCTGTTTTCATGACCATGAATAGCTTAAAATACTTCCCTTGCTAGAAACAACATGCCTATTCATGTGAATGTTGGCTAAATGTTCTTTACTTAAATGCCAACGCTGTTTGACAGCCAGTCACTCTCTACAAGAGAGATACAGTACCTAGTACTTACTAATATTATTGCACCAAATAATGAATGCAACATAAGCTACTGCAATGTGACAGCTGTTTCTATCAAAGCTTGGTAGCTCAATGTGACTAGAACATTTTTGTCAGAAGCGTAAACCAATTTATAGTTGATTTCACAAGAAGAGAAAGAAAAGCTGCTTTGCTGCCAAAACATGACCTTAACCTGCCTTCAGATGTTATTAAATGCCCAAACATCAAATTGCATCCTGCCTTCTGTGAAATCACAGGAAGTTTCAAATGCCTTCTACTCAAGGGATCTGAAGCTGCAAGCAACAGTAGGGTGCAAGCAACATAGGAAATTATGTTTCAGTGTAAGCTGTGACCTGAAAATGCAGCAGTAACACAAAAAATTCTCCAATACTTACAGATTCTATGCCTTTTATGAAAAAACCATATAATTAATGCTGTATGACTGAGCTGTATCTTACCATATTAAAGTAAAATTGCGATTTGGAATGGACTTGAGCTGTAATTCTTAATAAAATTCAGTATTGTTTTACTGAATAAGTTACAATACTACAATTATTTTTTGTTGCTGTTACAAACTTGGGATTATATAGGTAGAGCATGTCACTATTCACAAAGAATGCTAAGGTTTGAAATTTAAACAAAAATAAAGAAAAATGCATAACTGAAATTGTTACATCAATATTGAATTCTGTTATGTTAGAAACAGTTATTAAAGTTAGCCAGGACAATATAATTAATTAAATATTATAACCTCAACTTTGCATTACCTGCCTTTTAAAGTGCAAATCTAAACAATGAAGTGCTACAGTTGTATTCTGCCAGTACACATACAAAAAAAGGAAGGATTAGGTTGCCTTCATCTGGAGTTGAGTTTGTTCATTTAGTTTTTACAAAACACCATCATTTTTTACAGCAGCCTTTTATAGATATGAAAGAAAAACAGAAACAGCACAGTTGAAGTAGACAGGTTTTCAATGCTGTAGAAAGTTCTTCTACTAAAAAATAACATTTTCTGCTTATCTTGCATATACCAAAGAAAATCTGTTATGTAGTATGTTATCTTATGTATTTTTTCAAGAATGTCACCAAAAATAGAACAGTTCAATAATTTACTGCTACTGAGTTGCTTTGATTTTAGAAAGTATTAATTAAATAATTAGCAGTATTCATTTACAAGGAAATACAGGCCATGTAGGAGTAAATGAATGTTTACCATGTATCCATTTTCTAGAGAGCTAGAAGAGGATACAGAGCAAAAAAGGGGGCAGACACTGTAAGAAGTCCTATATCTAAGGACAAAATTATTCAACATGTATGATGAAAGTCTTCTATGCTATCACTATAGAAGGCCTCCTGAAGGAGAGAAGAGCTTCATCATAAGCTTTTCAACCCAATTATAAAAATTCCTCTGGAAACTGTTCACAGAGAGGTATTTTTTGGACAGGTTTCATATACTTCGTAATATATCAACCAGGTTTTACAATATTTCTGATTAGTTTCTTTTTAATATGTATGTTCAGTAAGAAGTTTATTTTTTATATTTATATTAAAATATATTAATATATATTTATATTTATTTATTTATATGTATATTATTTATATGTATATTTATACATTATTTATTTATATGTATATATGATTATTTATATGTATATTATTTTTATTATATTTATTTATTCTACAGCATTGATTTGTTCTTACATAGTCACAGGTATCTTGCTCAACTCTCCTAGATTTTTAACATTAAGCTTTGAAAAGCATACTTGGGAGAAAAAAAAAATCCAGAAAAGGAATATCTGAGAGAAGAATCAAAATCACTTGAAAAGGAATATCTGAGAGCAGAATCAAAATCACTTGAAAATTAAGTGCAGTCTTAACTGAACAAAAGATTAAAACCAAAAATTAAACTAAAACTTGTGGTGCACAACACTCAGAAACTATAAAGCCAACCGGAAGGAACTGTAATATAATTATAATTCATCTTACTTGGATTTTGCCTCTTGCAACAATGAAGGGTCATCTGTAGCCAAATAGACTCTTTTTTTATCAACGTGCATCCTGCGAGCAAGCAGCTCAAAGCGCTCCTCCACGTGTACCATGTACTCTTCAATGGGGTGAAACGCTGCCTCTGTCCCTACTTTGTCTGTCCTTCGGACGTGAACACTGGAAAAAGGGAGAAACCAGGAATTACATTTGTAACTACTATACATGCTTCAGCAAATGAAATGTTAAATTGAATCCCTACATAAAATAAGGATGGATTAAAACTCATCCACGTCCATCAAGACACACAGACAATATGAAGTTAGTCTGTTCTCAAAAGCAATAAAATAATCTGACAATGTAGGCAAAGGGTAACTGAAAGAAAGGAATGAAGGACATTGAATTATAGCATATAAAGTGGCATTCCTTTTGTGCACAAGGTTAAGTTATCTACTGTAGATAGATAATGCTTGATCAATACAGGTCAAAAGGAAAACAGGAATACCTGCATCATATAATGCACAGTTTGAATTAAGGTAGTTACAAATGCATTTTTTGGAACTCCTTGAAACGTAACAAGTCTTCAGATACAGCAGCGGTGAAGTGGCCTACCGGCTCAAGGTCAAAAGCCAACTAACATTTGGACAACCTACTGTGTAATCCTAGAAAAAGAAAGCTTAAGGACTGAAGGAAAATCTGGCAAAGGAAGAAGACTCCAGCACAGCAGCAGCAGCAACATTTTTCACACTACATGATGGAAAAACCATTCTCCCACAAGCTGCTTTTTGCTGGTTTTGTTCCTTTTCCCTGTATCTCCCCATAGAGACCTTTCCAATTCATCATTATTGCTGAGAAATAACAACTGCAAAAACACCAGCAGGGAAGGGAAAGGCACATTTCATGTTCGTATGTAGCCAGTAATAAAATTAATTGTGAATTGTGGCATGTATTAATTTTTTTTCCCCAAACATAAAAGTTATAGGCACTGGAAAGAAGACACAGACAGTGAAGTGCCTGGAATACAAGCTATAAGACAATTGCATTAATGAAATTCTGTATTACCAGATGTGGAAGATGTATTAAGAAACCTTCTATTGAGCTGCCTTTTTTATATCTGTCCAGCTACAGGTAGACAAGTGTGCTGAAGAAGTACTTGTAATCAACTTGTATTATTCACAGTTAAAAAATAAGAGCTTCATCTAGAAATCACCCTCTCTCCCCACAAAAATACTTTGAAACTCTGATTACCATCATAAAACAATTTTTTTTCTGAACAGGAATCACTACATATCACACACACATATTCAAGCACAAACAGTTAAAAAGAAAACTAAATACCCACCCGATCACTGGATGTTTGAAACCAAGTTTCCTTGTGGCTTCCTCTATTTCTTTTTCTAGCCAAGGCTGTGGACGAATCAAGTATTTCACAAACTGTGAGACCCACCACACTGCAGGATCCCCATGTACACGAATTAGTCTATCAGCCAAGTCTTCAGGGACAGCCAAGGGCAAATAGGGTGGCCGTGGGTGTAAGCTGTCAACAATGGGAAGTTCCACCACCTGAACATCCTTATCATTAGCCTCACCTGTTTTAAAATACATACTAAGATGAGTCAAGTAGTTTACTTTATTAATAAGCTTTACCATTGGCAAATAATATCCCAAACATATCAACTCATCTGTATCTTTTTCGATTCAAAATTCAATTCAATTTCAAAAGGAATACCTAACCCTTGCTCTACTTTTTCAAAAGCAGCATTAACAAATCTAATAAAAATCAGTTTCAGAGTAGATTTATATACAAACTGTGTCTAACAATGCACACAAGTAGAACAAAATGGAAGGTTCTTGAATTCTTAGCAGTTGGTAGTTAATAAAACATAAAATGCGTTCCTGTTTGTATATTGATACCTTCTTACATACAACTACACCATTACTGTGTGCAAAGGCTTATCTGGACAGACTGGCTATCTAAAATGTCTAAAATTCAGTTACTTCTTAACAAATTAAGCAAATAAATATTTTAAAGCGTAAGAAATAATAATAAAAAAAATAATTACAGCTCTGCTGCTCTTTTGACCACATTTTACTGCAGTAAATTTCAGCATTCCTGACACCACTGAATTAGCTAATCTGTTGTTAGAACAGGACAAAGACAATTCCTGCCTTCAAGAACTTAAACTATGAAATTAAATAGACCACAGAAAGCATAAGTACTATATAAGCATGTGATATACATATCATACATGATACGAATTTGTTGTGTTTTAAATATTAAGTATGGTAGAATATAGAGATGGTTTAGATAGGATTTTAAATCAAGGTTTAATAGCCACCAAACATCTTTTATGAGTTTTTATAAATTACACAAACACAACTGTCTACACACAGCTGCTAATTCAAAGCTATGTTCATATACTGAAATAAATTATAATACATGGCAACATAAAACAAAACATTGCATTTTTGAAGCACTGAACATTTCAGCTAATATTTCTAGTGTGCTCATTTCCTCCAAAATAATGGTTCCATTGTCTGCAGTATTTACTGGCAAAGATGGTTGGTTTTCCCTTTAGTGCTCATCAGCCAGGAAAAAAAACTGCTTTAAATATAAGCAAATCAAAACCATAGAACTGTTGATGACCAAGTAAATGTTAATGCTGAAAGAAATCAATTCAGGGAAGGAATAATGAGTTGAAGAGTTTAAGAACAGTAAAAGATCCCAAAGGTTGGAACACTTCTGCAAGACTAGTCAAAATTGTGCAGTTAACTCACTGTGAATCTGGTTATTTAAGTCAGGAACATTTCTTATGCTCAGGTATAGTTTCAATCCATTTTTACCCGATTTGGAAATCTATCTTTGAAGATGCATCTGTATGTCAATATTTCATCTGCACTCTATACCATCACTATAAGGGATTCTTTAGAAGAATTTCACACACTACAGTTATGGATGATTCTTTTTAATTCAAGAAGCCAGTTCACATTTTTATCATCTATTATATCACACTCATAGGAAAAAATTTAATAAAAGTTAATAAATTCAGCAAAAATATTGAGCATTATATCGTCTTATAATATGACGGATAACACTTTACTAGTACGACTTCAGAAAGCTGCAATAAAGAAAAGCAGCATGAAACCAGGGAAGTGCTAAATCTGGTGCAGATGTGAAGTACCAGGCAGAAGTTTAGACAAGAAATGTTTAGCTTGGGAATGGTATGGAAGAATGCTTGAGGTTCCATCCTTTTTATCTTTTTCCCCCTCAACTGAGAATGGGAGAAAAAACAGGGTCACAATAAAACACTAGCAGTCTTCAACAAGAGAAGAAAGAAAAGATTTCCACCTTAAGTTAGAGAAGGAAATTTGCTGCAAACCTTTTGAGGTGAAAAAGGGGGTGATGCAAAGCTACATATAAAAGGTGGATTTTTATTAAGTACAGCATCACTGACAAGCTTTTAAACTTTGTTCTGTGACTGAATAAAGATGTTGGTTTGTAAAGACAGTTATTTGTAAAATCTTGCTATTGATAAAGCTGATTGAGCAATCTGACCTACTTTTTGACATTCCTACCCTGAAAAGCACTCAATAAATTGTTCCATGCTATTCAAAGGAAGAAAAACTCTCAGCATATATAGCAAACTACATTAAAGTATACCAAAATCACAGAATATCAAAGAAGACTGTGAAAAAAGAATCAGATTTCACCTTTCAACTCAATGTGATATGTTGTTTGAATAGTAATGAAGTTGCAAGACTTGCTGCAAATAAAATCAGAAACAAACTAAATGTATTTCATTAAGGAAGAACAATTTGTTCAAAATTAATAACCTAGTAATTAATTTTGTTGTTGTGTTGTCTTTAAAGAAAAAATACTAATCAAATCATAAATATGGTCATATCTATTTCAATGATGTTGTAGTTTGTTAATTGCTTACATACAATTCTCACCTGTATAACCAAACACATAGATATGTGTAAAATTCCAGAAAACCTTATGGCAACTCTCTAGATTGTATTACCCACATTATCTGAATATCTGAATGAAGGAAAAACTTTCTATTAGTCTTCATTCACTTTTAAAAGTATGAGATGGATGAGAGAGATGCAGTAGAAGGAAAACTTAGACTAACTGTTTGCTTTTGCACTGGACAAAACCAATGTAGAGTAACCCTTTAGTAACCATGAAGGAGTAAACAACTCTCTGCAGCATACAGGCAAGAGACAGCATTCTTACCCTACTGATCACTTTTTTTTTAAATTTTAATTCAGTATTTGTGAAAGGATTCCTAATAGGCAATGAGCTCGTCCTATTTTCAGCAGGCATGGTTTAAAAAAAACCCCTTTTTTGGACAGCAGGATATTGTTTTATTTAATCAGAAATAAGCTGCAATCAAAGTCAATGATACAGGAGATAACCAAAACTCAGATCAAAAGACAAGCAGATGCATTAGAAAACAATAAATGACGTTGTTGATTCATATGAATTTTCAGCTGAAGATAATGAAACCAAGTTAAAAATATAGAATGAATTTTCAATCCACACTTCAGTTGTTAGCTACATTTTCTCTAATTTGTAAAATATTTGAGCTTTTTTCTACTTCATAGATGTATTTTGTTAAGTAATAGATAAGCCATAAAAGGTAATAATCCATACTAATGTTTATGTATTTTTCTCGTGTTGGTAGCTTAAATCACAGCATCATCATGTCAGTCAGGACCAATTCCCTGCTCAGTGGTGGTACAATTTTGATATTTGATCACAGAATCATAGAATCATTTAGGTTTGAAGATACCTCTAGAGTTGTTATAACTTACTTGTTATGACTGCTGACATGTGAGTTAACATAAGTTAAATGTCAGCAATAGCTTAAGTTACTTCTTCTGATGTGATTTATTTTATTTTTATAGTTGTAAAAATGTGTTACCATAATTCTAGTTATAGTTAACTTTTCCAGGTGCTGTTTTTCAGTTTGGGAAAATAATTGTCTTCCAGAGCTCTGCAATTTAATCCTGTTTTGGATTTTACTCCACTGGGTAACCAAAGATTGAGTGTTTTTGCAAGAGTCATCAAGTTCTGCAATACTGAAAACACTCACTCTTACCATAACAATGGGCCCTGGAGGAAGGTCCTGGACTGAAATTGATTTTAATTCAGATGACCCATACCAGTTGTACTATCTAGTTCTTATTTATTACCAGTTTTTGGATATGTTCATCACTAATACATCAGGAACACAGTTTCAAATTCCAGGGGACACACTGAATACTTTTTAAATGCTGAAATTAGTTCCATGTGTTATAAAAGGCATAACTTTGCTTCACTGCAGTGTCTCAATGCGCCATAATCACTTTATAGCCCTCAGGACTTAAATAATTTTTGTGATTTGGCATAACCTTACCGTCTGTCTACTTTTCAAATTTGCTCTAATTAAAAGCCCATTTTAAGACTTTTGCTATTTGTATCTTTCTTATCAACTTCTTTTTCTTGAAAGCCAGAAAAATGCTGGTTTGACTCAAAAAGACCTTTGGAATTTTGTCATTTTAGGTAAGCTTACTTCCTGCCATCCGAACATTGGTTCACACCTGCACATGGATGAGCATTTTCATTGGGTGTTGATCCATTACCTGAAAGGAGGCTGACATTTTACTATGCAATCACTTTTAGTTCATGTTAACTGAAAACCTGTTTGATCATTCATTCTATTATTTCAAAATTCATCAGCTAATTTCAATTCCTTCAAGAAGTCCTTAAAAGTATGCCAAAGAAGACCATGCTAAGGGCATTCTTATCTTGTAACTGAGAATTTCAATTTAATTTCAGTTTGTCTTGCTGGAAACACAACTGAATAAACTGATATAAAAATGGAACAGTTTCCCTACTTTTCTGTTTATATAATATACTTAATTAAGCTGATATCAACTTGCATAGACTTATCCCAGATCAACTTGACCAAGCTCTGCAGCACTGCCAATGTGGAACCTTCCCCAAGTGAACAACTCTAAATTGAGCCGCAGGAGATATGTCAGAGTGGTGGGAAAGCTGTTTGATTAACACAAGGTATGGTGAGAGGACTGTGCTGAATTCTCTCAAGGCTCCTCATTGTCCTGCTGGCTCCTGGTACAAATTGCAAAGGACAGCCGGTTCAGAGTTCATCAATGATATTTCAGTGCTTTTCTTTTCAGACACAGTAAAAAATGAAAACTACACAATGGCGTGTTACACTTGGTATGAATTTTCAGCTAATTCATAGGAAAGTAAAAGTATGCTTTTATCTGTTTTGTGATGCAGACTACACCTACAACTATCTTCCAGGCATTTGCAAACTTAAATAAAGTTACCTCATAAGAGCTTTATTCTGTAGTTGAATTATAAAACAGAATTGACATAAGGTAAAAATCATATTTTTCTTTTAAAGTAGTTAATGTAAAATGCAACTCATATATCTGAATTTTTTTTCTCTAAGCTTTTGCTTTGTAGAATTTTAATACAGAATTTTTGAACTTGGTTTCTGAATTATTTCTCACTAGTATTCCACTTCCTCATTTTTTAATCATCCTTTATGTAACCAAGCCTTTTAAGGCA